TCCCAATGCCAATGGCAACCAGTTCACATGCTTATAGTTATGGGGAAGGACCGAAGTCCCGCCCCGGGCTCTCTCTTTCTTTCTTTCTTTCGTTCAGGCTATGGGAGAGGGCTGGATTTGAGAGAGCCCCCTCTCTCTCTCTCTCTCTCTCCGCCGTGCCATCCGGAGGGTCCAGCGATCTGGGGCTCTTCTGTGTGCTGCGTAATGATCAGTATACTGCTCTACTCCGTTTCTGCTCGGACCATGCGCGGCCCATCTGCAGACTGTATCTCAGCCGGGGGTCGTCAAAGGCTCGCAACCGCTGACGACCAGGCGCGTCACCATCCCAGGCTGTCTGCCTCACATGGGAGCTTCTTCAAAACAGGCCCTTTAACACGGCATGCTTCAGAGAGAGGCCCATGTGATGCGAATGGCGCAACCGATTCAAACCTCATGGCCGCTTTGAATTATACTGGTCTTAATTGGAGTCCGACCAGATTTGAATGGATCTTAATTAATTGGAGTCCAATCAGATTTCAATGGAATTTACAAGGGTTTATATAGATTTTAATTGGAGTTCAATAAGATTTCAACGGATTTTACTTGGATTTATATTGATTTTACTTGGACCCCAATTGGAGTTACCTGGACGTTGTTTGCATTTGAAATTTCCTTCTGGCATCTGGGGCCCTTGAAATAACAAGGCTTTTCTATTCATCTACGGGGGGTGGGCGCCCTGATTAATTTGCTCGGATTAGGAAGGGCTGCTCTTCAGCTAAGCCACGTCGTGCCGAATGTGCCCTAGCCTTTCAAATCAGATTGGACCATTAAACAAATATATATATATATATGTAAATAAAACCCGTCCAATTCAGATTTGACTCCAATGAAAAGCAATATAATTACATTAAAATCCGTTGAATTCTGATTAGACTGGTCAGGATTTTTTCTATTCTGTGTGGTCTATTAATCCATGCAGCAGCACCCACAAGGGGTAGCTCAGGAAGCAGTGCTTGGCACTGAAATTCCTAAAAAAGTTTAGTAAGCAAGTCCTGTTTGCGGACCCTCTCTGCTATCTAAATTTTGGATGCCACAAGTATTGCAGCCTCTTCAAGCAGGCGCGGCTGCTACTGGGAAATGGTCAGGAAACTTTCTATCATTCTGATGTTTTTTCTGCTAATCCATGCAGCAGCACCCGTAAGAGGTAGCTCAGGAAGCAATGTTTGGCCCTGAAATTCTAAGTACAGTTTAGTAAGCAAGTACTGTTTGCGGGACACTCTCTGCTGTTCAAATTTTTGGATGCCACAAGTATTGCAGCCTCTTCAAACAGGCGCGGCTGCTACCGGGAAATGGTCAGGAAACTTTCTATCATTCTGGTGTTTTTGTCTATCAATCCATGCAGCAGCACCCGTAAGGGGTAGCTCAGGAAGCAATGCTTGACCCTGAAATTGAAAAAATGAGCAAGGCCTGTTTCGGGACCCTCTCTGAAGTCTAGAGTTAGTATGTTACTACTGCTACTACTTTTCTGGAACTACAAACAGGTTTGAGGTTTGATTAGGGTATAGGGCCCGGATTTAGGTTGTAAGTTTAAGTTCTAGAGCCTAAAACCTACCTGGAGACTTATTTTCTTAGGGTTTGGGAATAATTTTCTTTAAGTCTAGGGTTTTTTTGATCGAAAACCTGCCTCCTCCTTTGAAGTAAACTTTGACCCCACATTTGACCCAAGAATGTTTTGGTCCAAAACCTGCCTCCTCCTTTAAAGTAAACTTTGACGACCCCACATTTGGCCCAAGAAATTTGGTTTAAGTCTTAAGGGCTTATCAATCAAGAGCATGGATTATGCATTTTGTCTGCACGGCCCGGCCCTTGAACATATTCTTCAACTCACTCATGGAAAACAATCCATTCACATTTATGCTGCAAGTGCTGGACGGAGCCCATGGCATGGACAGTTTAGGGTTAAGGGTTTAGGGACCCTAAACCCTAAACCCTAAAACAGCCTGTGGTAATTGCAATGCAATTCACCCCAGACTGGCCTGATCAGTGCCTGTCCTGGAGTCTGGTTGGTGTGTCATATATTGGGGTTATATAGGGAGAATGGAAAAGAAATGGAAACTACTATATTGGGGTTATATTGGGGTTATATAGGGGATATTGGAAAGAAAATGGAAACTACTGTAATATAATAGGGTCTATATTGGGGTTATATGGGGATAATGGAAAAGAAAATGGAAACTACTATAGTATATTGGGGTTATATAGGGATATTGGAAAAGAAAATGGAGGCTACTGTATTATAACAGGGTGTATGTATATATGTGTATATATTGTACTATAAATGTCGAGTTCCAGAACAAGGAGGCCCTTTCTATACGCCAAAGTTGGTGGCGCAGTAGATCCCCCAAAAGGGTCTACAAACTCCCAAATAGCCCAGCATAGTCCATTTTGGGCATCTCCAACAATAGCAGTCACCCTCATCCCTCGTATCCATGCACAAAGACTAGGATCTTTGGAGGATCCTTGGAAATTAGAGCACGCCCCAACCAAAAACACGTAGTTTTGTGAAGATTGTCTTCAGTCAGGGTGCTCGAAGCGTACGGCTGTCGCAACGGCCAGCCAGGTTGCAGCAGTCAGCACGCTACGCATCGGCTTTTGTACCTGGAATGCATGGCGAAAAGTTGTGGACCTGCCTCTTTGCAGCTCTGAGTCTTCAGTCGTTCGAAACGCCTAAGAAAATTTGTCGCAAGCATTCACGCAGCGCAGTGCATGCAGCACGTATGGCCCTTGGAGAATGTTAGCCACGCAAGAAGGAAGCGGTCTGAAGTCTTCAGTCGTTCGAAACGCCTAAGAAAATTTGTCGCAAGCAGTCGCGCAGCGCAGCGCATGCAGCCCGTATGGCCCCTGGAGAATGTTAGCCACACAAGAAGGAAGCGGTAACCTGCAGTGCCATCTTTATTGCGGAGAAGCGGCGTTGAGCATGCAGTAGGCAAGGGAATTGAATCTGTCAAACCTTTGCAGCTGTCAGGGTGATCCTCCCATGGAGGGTTTCAAGGTTTCAAGAGCTCAGCCTTTTTCATTCAGCAAACTGCTGGAGCCTGGCACTCTCTGCCTTACGGTGACAACTTCGGCAGACTCTGGAACATTTGGGCCTTTCGTCTCTTTGTGATTCAGTGCGAGTACGAAAAGCGGAGCTGAATACTGAAATGTAGGCAACTCCTGACAATATCGTGCAGAATGGAGGCCCGTTTGCAGATGTGGAACTGGCATCCAGGTTGACCCAAGTGGGGCCTACAGCTTAGACAACCGGTTGAAGGACCCCAGTCCTGAGCACCTCTCAGTGCATGCACAACCCCTTCATACACCTCCAAACAATATAGTCTAGTCCCTACTGTCAAACAGGGCCCACTTATTTTTGAGAAAGCTCCCACAATGCATCAGGGGCTCAACGCGACGCCTGGCGCAGTGAGCGGCTCCGAACTCTGTCGCTACCGGGCCAGCTCGCTGCGGTTATTGTGCGGATGTCTATACTCGAGAACGCAGGGATACAGTGCAAGATTCCCGGTGTCTCCCCGTAGGAATATATACATACACACACACATATATATAGAGATATCTCTCTATCTATCTATCTATCTATTTATCTATCTATCTATCTATTTATCTATCTATCTATCTATCTATCATATATACATATGCAGACACAAAAATAAATTAATGAATACATCTTTCTTGGGCAGGAGCTCTTTGGAACTCCCACACGAATAGGAACAACATAAACACTTGCTGGCCTTCATTTCAAGCAACGGGGGTCTATGTAGGGACCCAGTATCAGCTGATTCATCTCGGTCTGGAATGGAACAGCCCTCAAAATAGCAACTTTGCCAGAAACAGGCCTGCTAATTTCGTCCGTCACGATATCCCCCCACCCTCTAATATGAACATCCGCAATATGAGACATTGTCTTTTCGGGGGAATGTTCAGTAATAGGCGGCGCGGTAGGGTCATGTTAGGGAGAGGTGAGTACAAGCCTTAATTCCCTGAACTTTAGCCTTCGCACTATCTGAGGGGAATGGCATTAAACCAACACGCAAGGTGCACTGAGCAGAAGAGGAGAAGGATGAGTTATCCCTGTTCATAACAAGACTAGTCTCGGTCGTAATAGTGGTATGCTGAGCCTCTTGTTTCTGGACCTTTAGGAGCAGTTATAGTTCTTCTTTACGTTTCCTGTTGGACAGGTGTGTAGAATCGTAGAACTATTCAAAGCGGCTTTGTGTCTGCAAGACCTCCCTGTAGGGGAGCCAGGCAGCTTCCCCCCCTTTATCGAACTCGCCCCTTTGATTGATTTGAACGGTGCCGGCTGGGGTGCAGTGGAAGCAGGCAAACGATCAGCTGGGGGTGCAGGCGGAGCATTCTAATCACTAAAAGCTTGCCCCATGCTTGCTCTAGTCTCCGCAAATTCCCTCCCTGATAGAAGTTGAACTGCAAGCGGCTACAATATCCAGCTAGGGGCTTGCTGAGCTGAAAAGAGCTGAGGCCCCTTTTTGTTTGGATGTCGCTGGCGGGTTTCGCTTGCCTCCGCATGGTCTACACTAACTTGGAAGGCATATCTTAAAGATGTATGGTGTGGCTGATGGCGCATACTATTAGACAGGTGAAGCCAGCCGAGAGCCCAGGTAGCCCAAGGACCCCTGCCTTTTTGTTCAACTTTAGCGGGGTGTCGATGCCGTGTGGCATTCGCTTCTGCCGAAGTTTCCTCCTATCCCAGCCTGCGGCATGTTCTTAAAGGCGTGGGACCTTCATGTCGGAAGACTAAGATTCGGGGGGCATTCACCTAAAACTTATATACTTTCCAAGAGTGTGTGTAGAAGGGCCGCTAGGTATCTTCAGGCTGGGAGCACCTGCCCATACAGGCATCTGTAGCCCAAGCTGCAGATTCGTGCCTAGGAATGTGGACGCAGATATCTGGTCTATACGGTGCACATGACATGCATGGGAACTTCAGCCCTGAGCTTCTCATAGTCTCACTGGCAAACCTGCATGCGGAAGTACTCCTTGACAACTTTCTTGTGGCGGAGCACGCGGCACTTGCCTGGGTTCACACGGTGTGAACCGCGCTTTCGATCCCTTAGCCCTTGAATGTTAACCCCTACCCACAAAACCTTTCACGACTGCTGAATCCAAAGAAAGCCCACCAATTTTGAAGATTTGAGACGACTGCATCCCAGGTTTAAAAGGACCTGTGTCGAATGGGGGCTTCAGCAGCATGGCTCTGGCATTGTATCCTGATTGTTTCTGTTGCGATTGTTATGGAGGCTCTGAAGCCCTTCATACTGATGTTAAACAACCCCCCCCCTTCATATCAAAATAGGCCCCTTTGAACAAAAGGTCGCCTATGGGCAATATGCAAAAAAGGTCAGTGGTAGGAAAGGGTGTTGAATAGTAGCTTTTAGGGAGTAGTCGCTTTGTCCATCGAATCAACCCATAGCTCTAAGCCTGTAAATGGCCACTATCATCCCTAACCGTCCTGAAACATCTTTGCCATAATTTTCCAGAACTGTCCCAAATCTGCACATTCTTGTAACCCTCAAATCTCTGCAGTAATTTTTCAGCACTCCCCAAATCTACACAATTTTGTGACCCTCAACCCTAAATCCTTGACCTTTCAGGGGCTTGGCATTTAGGGCTTAGCTGCTGATTGCCAAGCCTGAACCATCCTCAGGGCAGAATTCATCATACACCACAACATATACCCAACATTTGGATTATATAGAGTAATATTACAGGGATGTAGCTACCCCAATTATGTGGAATGACATGAAAAATGATGCAACATGGAAAACAAACGGAAACCCTAGGTCCCCTTAAAGGCGTATACAGGCATCGTTGATAAGCAAAATGGAAGAGCATATGGCAGAAGAGGATGCAAATTGAAATGGTAACCGTTTTTGATACGGGTTCTATACGGAGCTATATCAACTGTCCAGATATGGTAGTTTCCATGAGTAGGGTCACTGACTTCTCTGCAATCGACAACAACCCCTAGCCACGCTAGGGGTAACCGGAGGATGATGATGAGGGGATTGCGGGGGCCCTATCAAGGAGTATATAGCTCATAGGGAACATCGTGAATTAATTTTAATGGACACTAGTAAGGATTATCACCGCAATCGTGCTGAATGGGCTCTGCATGGCAGTTGTCAGAACGTCGAGACATGTGCAGTCTGTTGCTATGATGACCCTCTGAGCCTTTCAGGATTCAAGTGTCGAATTTTCCCACATGCGTCCTTGGTCCTGAACATACTTCATAAGCCCTACGACAAACCTAGACAACCCCATACTTTGAACAACCTGGATAACTGGGGCGATTTGTGGCTTATACTGGTTTTACGTATACTCACTAACTCCCCCTGACGCTCCAAGTAAACTCCCTCAGAATTCTTTCGCACATCCCAAACAAACCCTTCAATGTCCCTGGCTGGCCCAGGGGCAGCAAGGGTTGCATGAGAATGATGTGCCTCGAGCTGGGCGCAAGCGTGGTAATTATAACAGGGTTCCCCAAAAATCAAGATTCGCTGTTCTTGGAGGTTCTTAATGGGGAGGAAAATAAAAATGAAGCATTTATTGGGTGTACAGGGGGTGCCCTACTTTGCGGAAACTCCCACATAAAGGTCCTCCTGCGAGGAACCTGCCTCTTTGTACCGGATGGCAATTAGGATAATCAATGCTCTCCTTATGCCCATGATGAAAAACTAGAAGCACCGTCCACATGGATCTCCTGGTAAGCCCGTCGTGCTGCGCTCCTTCTCCTTATCCTATGGCATCTTCATTGAGCATCATTTGACAACCCCAAACCCCAAGAAAAAGGATTCTATACTTCCTCTGCCCCAAACCCTAAGCCGTCTTATAATGGCCAGTTGTCACAGGCTCCCACTGTGAAAGCTTGGGGTTGCCCAAGAACCTTATCATACCGGGGTTGCTGTTCAGGGACTTAAATTAAAGCACCATAATATGGCTATATAAGGTATAGTAAGGATTCCTTGTTATAGTAATTGAATTTAAGTTCCTTACCAGCACGCCAGCATACTGTTGCTATTGTTAAATACTCTCGCAGTAGCAGAAGCAGGGCAGAGGCAGGTAGAGCTAGGGCTGGCTGGCTAGTATAGGTCCTATAGACCCCTATATGGTAGTTTCCCTAAATTACTGTTCCCCAAATGGTGGAAATTTATATAGGGCCCCGTATTATAATGGGAACCCAAGTATAGGACCCCGTATTATAGGGAATTTAGACCAATACCCATATCCCCTTTGGAGGGCACTCACCAGATCTCACCAGTAGTCCAAGGCCGTCGGCGCCTGTGGATGTTTTATCAATTTGTTTGTTCCACTTCGGTACACCAAAATTAGAAGTGACTTAAAAACCACCCCACAACTCCTAACATCTGGGGACCATCCAACGCAACGAAAACCTCCCGCAAGCGCACCGACTACCTCTCAAGTACTAGAAGCTCAAAATGCTCTCCACCCAATGCCGAGCGGCAAGCGCCACAGCGCAAATATCCCTCAGCTGGCTTCGGCGTGTCCTTGACGTCAGATTGCCATGAAACTGGGAAAAGAGGCCGTTAAAAGGATAGGCCGCCGCTTGGAGAATTGTGTCAACAATTGGATTGCATATTGAAGGTGGTTCTGCATCGAGCAATGTTGGGAAGATTGAGGTCCTAGATCCGCTGTGCCACGACAGCCACAAGCTCCAAACACCAACCTGTGCCCGCAACAGGCAAAGTCTGAAAGATCCCTCTATTGTGAGGAAAACCCCTTATGTTCGCCCTAACCCACCCCCCCCTCCCGCCGGAATCACTGAATCTACCACGGCAAGCAAGTGTCCGAACAGTGCTCACGATGGAATGGCAAGTCTCCGATGTCCGTTCCCCATGTCCTTGCCACATGCTTCAGAAGCATGAAGAAAGCAACATTTCTTGGAGTAGAATGGTGATACTACATTGTCGCCAGGCACAAGGAGTAGCGCCTGCAACGATAGCTATATCAAAATACTGACTGCGCGTGGCACAATAGCAGTCATCATCAGAAACTGCGCTCAGTCGGTCAGGGGTTGCGGCACCCCTTCTTTGCACCCAAGGCTCAACAGCTTCACACTTTGCTAAAGAATCAGACTCCTGTGCCAGATGACCGATTGTACTTTATCCCCTCGAACAGGCACCTCTTTGATGCAGCAATCCCAATATGAGGCGGGCAACACGGCCCAGCGCTGGTAATTCCTTCTTGCTGGCGCCCATGCCACACAGCCCCAACCAGCATTTGGGAGTATCCCTGGCTTGTGACTTAGAAGCCTCACGTCAGGAATCACCAAGTTGCATGTGGGCTCTTAAAAAATTCCCGAGGGGCAAAACGGGAGAGAGGGAGAGAGAGAGAAAGAGACAGAGCAAAGGAGCGAGAGAGAGAGAGCCAGCGAGGGAGGGAAAGGCAGGGAAGGGAGCGACTGACGAAAAGGAGGGAGGGAAAAACGGAGAGAGAGAGAGAGAGAGAGGGAAGCCTGCCAGACTTTAACATTTTACGATGATGAATTTGGGGTGTAGGGTCTGGCTTGCCACCGAGTCAAGCCAAGCTTCTCGTATAAACATGGCGGAGTAGGCAGAGCGGCCCCCAGGTCGGTGGGAGAGAGCTTTGCCATGGACTGAGCCTGTCTTCCCCAAAAGTTTAGGGTGGATATGATCGAAACCACTGTTCCAGAAGGCTTTGCATGCATCTTGCAACGACCCAAGTGATTTCGCTGTTGACCTTTATAGCACCATAGCAACCCCCATGCACACATTCAGTCAAGGTTCTCCGCGGGGCTCCAGTAAGCCCCAATCATGACCCAAACAGATGGACCAAAGACTTACCTAAATCTGCATGTGATATTCTGCGGAAAATCCGAGCAATTTCAGGAACTTGCTTAAACGGGGCTTGCATCTTGATCCTTCTTTGGCTTATGGTTTGTGGGCTCCTCAAATTCACGAACTCTGGACCCTAAACCCTATAGGCTCCAAACACTCAGCCAATACATGTGTTCTGTCGTACTTGTGAAGGTGCTTGGGCACCGCAGGCCGTTAGATTCCGCTTCAAGGAGTGTAGGGATCTTTTTGAACCTTGGGGCGACGATCTGCTTGGACTTCCTCACGCTGAGGTTGCCAGGGTGTTGGTGTACGTGGGAGGCATGGCCGGCAACAGGTGCGATCACTGCCACTGCAACCAATAATCGTAGTACAGCTAGACATCAACTTAGGGAGTCCGCAGTGCCAGCTATGCACCGTACGAAAATGCAAGGCACCGATGCCAGTTTTCCTCAACCCATTATCCCCTGCCCTGGGTTTCCATGCACGAAAGTGCTCTCAGGCCCGCCATATAGGGAAATGAGCAATTGGGCGTCACATACCCCATAAAACACAATATCTTTTCGTTGTGGATTGATAGGGTCTGCTGCTCAACTGTTGCCTGTCTGCCTGTCGCCTTGGGCAGTACCAGACATTGTGTGCGGACATTTGTTACTGCCGCACATCGTATCAGCCCATTCCTCCACGATTTTTTCCTTTCGTGACCTCTGGTCTATTGCTATTTGTCTACTACTGTTTCTTACTGCCATGTCTTGCCAACCTTTTCTTATTCCTGCCACAGGTAACTCACTATCTCGCTGTGCGGATGGCTATTGTGTCATTCTGCTACCATCTGCAGGAACAAGCTCTCCTCCGCATCTGCGGCATAGTCTGTTGAGATGATGTCCTGCACTCTCTGAAAATCTTCTTCTGGCGGATGTGTTTCTGCTGTTGACTTTACAGAATGGACGCAAAAGATACATACATGGATGCAGAGATTGAATGGGTGTTAACATCTAGGCCATCTGAATGACGGGGGTTGAACGCAATACTATCATGTGAATGGAGGGTAATGGATTCATTATTGCCAGGGATGTTCGCATCTCGGTCATTCGAATGCAAAAACCAACAAAATCTGGCAAGAGCCCAGGTATGAATCAAGCTTCTCTAATTAGCTACAGGTGAAACAGTGCTCAAAGCCTAGGCGGAAGGCGGAAAACGTGCTTTTGAACAAAAAATGTGGTTTGATTGTCACTTTAGGCCCCCTAGATTGTCACCAGCACCACCACCACCAAAACCACCGCGAGAATTGCGGCCCTTCTGCAGGCCAGCGTACGCTATTTGGGATTGGCACGCTTACGTGGCCTTTTATAACCTGAAAACTGACTTACTAACTCTCCTATGAGCCTTGAAGCAATGTTTTGTCGCCCATAGCCCCTACGCCTGTAGTGGCCATCAAAAGTAAGTGGTTAGCAATCTTTACGGGTACCAAACAAGCGCCTACAGACACTACGGTGATCACGTTGCCTCATGATACCATGCTGACATCCAACAATATTTCGAAGAGCTTCTGCCCACTGCGGCATTTACGATTGGACAGCGCTACCTGGATGCTCAGATGGGTTATAGTGATTAGTAGCAAGGGGTTATAAGCCCCAATTGGGGTTGGCCTGCTCGGCTTATCACCCCCTTCATAACCTGTTTACCAAGACTCTTGAGCCTTGAATGCATGGGTTTTCACCTTGGTGCGCGTGCATTCCGCGATGACATCATTTTTGCGTAAAGTACCCTGCATCCTTGAACAAAATCCTAAACCCCAAACCCTAAACCCTGAACCCTAAAACCCTAAACCCCAAACCCTGAACCCTAAACCCTGAACCCTAAACCCTAAACCCTAAACATCCCTAAACCCTTAACCCCAAAAGCCCAAACCCAGACCTGGTCCAGGTCGGCTTAGCAAAGTAAAACTTCTATTCATATTATGGGGTTTCCCGAAGTTAGGAATGCGTTTTGGGGGTCCCTGTCATAAAGGTTACAATATATTGGGGTCTATATGGGGGTCCCCCCCGTTTAAGGAAACTATCATATCTGAGACTCCAATGTACTTCAGGGCCCTGAACCGGACATCCTAAGCTCCAAGCCCCCTGACAACTCATAACAGGGCCAATTGACCGTCAACACCCTTACTTACACTGTTGCTAGGCCCTCGTTAAGAAAAACTGGGGAGGCGTGACTACTCTGAGACAAGAAATCAGAGCGTTTACGGTACTGTACCTGAAGTTCACTCCCGAAAAAATCCAAGCCGACATCCTGCACCCCGAATGCTGGCCTGCAACTCCTTGATGATTTCGGGGATGGTTGGGCGATACTGGTAGGACAACAACCTGCGTTGAAGGTCACATGCTCTTCAGGTTGGAAGTGCTATTCACGCGAGAGTTTGCACGAGACACTTGACCAGACACCTGCAGCAACAAGCGAGAGAAGCTTGCAGTCGAAAGTAAACCTCAACCCTTCTAACGCGTTTCTATCAGCCCCCTCCCAGTTTTGTGCCCGGCACCCAAAGCCAAGGAGCATTTCGACCAGGAGCTTGTCTATCCGCTTCTGCTTCTGGAGAATGGGGATGTGCTTGTCATATGCTGGGTTGTAATGGATGGTGGAAGAGCCATTTCTGTCACCCATGTAGGGAGGTTGGCCTCACAAAGGCAACGAGACAGTCTTGCGTCGACAAGAGCCTCTTCCTATCCTGGCATAACTAGGACTAGGAACATGTTTGGATTTCCCTCTTGAGGAATTTATCGTGATTATGCCAGAAACTCTGCAGTAGGGCTAATTTCTGGCCGTGCCGGCCTAATGAGAGCCACTTTGGGTCCACCAGTGTACTTGGGTCTACAGTCCCCCCAGGGTACAAATATGTCCAGATCATGGATCATATGCTGCCATCTGTGAGGTACCCAAACGAGAACATGGTTAGCTGGAGGCCTCTTGGCTGACCAAGCAGCACATGCCGTGAAGAGCGTGTGAGTCCAGAATACCCGTACATCGCCCGACTTGCTTTCACACGAACACTAGTCACTAGTGGTTTCTCTATCCTTGCCGCAACTATTGAGGGTATCATCATGAATCCCTGCTCAAAGCTGCCCCGCGGCGCTTGTAAAGGAGCTCGTAGAGCATGGTTCCCAAGGCCCATACGTCCCGCGAAGGACGGGCCATTCCGATCACATCCTGCTGCCAAACCTCACAGTCTGGAAAGGTGCTCATCATTTTGGCGGGATATGCAGGGGTCGTGGCAATACTACAATGCAGGGCTTCAGCCTCATGACCATCATGCTAGTTTCCGAAATGCTTCACATTTGTAGCAGTCCATTCACTGAACCGGATAAACTAAATGCGTATAGTTGCACCAAAGCAACCTCGGGGGGCATGTAGCCAGGGGTACCGCACCAACCGCAGTCTCCCGGTTTGGACATGTTGCAGGCCAAGCCAAGATCAATCACCGCTGCGAAGCACTTCTTGTCCTGACAAGAAATCCCACATCATCCCCAGATACATTGTATATCGCCCCCCAAACCATGTTTTGTTGCGGGATTGTCAAGGAGGGGTTGCCGTACATCATGGTGATGCTGTTGGGATCCTAATTGAGAGTAGGACTACTCTTCGCATCCTGGCAGTGCAGCATGGCGTTCTCCAGCTTCAGATCTGTGTGGAGCATGCCCTTCTCGTGCATCGCATCCACACCCTTAACCACATCCAGGAACAACGCCAGTATACGTGCCTGCGGGCGTGCAAAACTGAAAAAGTGTACATCTCGACTTATACAGGGCAGCTGTTTCCTCGCTATCTGCTACAAACGCGACTTGATTCGCCAATCACGAAACTGAATCAGGGACATGTTCACACCGCTGGTGAAGCCAAGACACCATGGAGAAACCTTCCAGCTCGGACCAGCAGCGATGTTTACCCTTGCACTCGAGACTGCAACCAGCACTGCGTCTACATCCTGCGTTTCGATGCAGATGACAAATATTCCTCTCACTATGGGCATAATAAAGAAAGATTCCACTTACAACTAGTCTTACTGCGGGAAGCAGGGAATCAGGGAACCTAATCCCGATATAAGCCGCAGATGATGTATTCCCTTATTCCCTACTAACCTGCTGTAAGCCAGTTGCCTTACTGCTGGTTCGCAAGGAGTGAAGGAAAGGATCCTGGCTTGAAGTGGTGCCGGCAATCCCTAGTCTTATGGTAGTTTGCATGTTCTTTTCCATTTGGCTCTCCATTGTAGTAGTGATTTCCATGCCTTTTCCATTTCTTCAGTCCCTGCTAACAAGAGAGAAGCTGCAGACCCCTTCATTCCAAGCCCCAAAACCTTATATAACCCTATATATCCTCTATATAACGCCTAGAACCTGTAAGATGGTTTTTATAGCGTTGTGTTTTTCTAGAACTCAGATACAGAAGACCACAGACCACGGAAGGGAACCCCCAGCATCCTTGCGCAAGCGCGAACAGGTCGCCGCTGTTCATGTAGGGCATCCTCACTCACAGCATACCCCTATACCCTCCCTATATGAGAGCAAAAGTGGCTTTCCATCACTCTCAACCCTTTCATGCTCTATTTGCCAACCATGCAAGTCATAACCTGTTTGAGCCACTTAGCCGCTGTCTGAGCCCAACTTCGCAGCAAGCCCTTACAATCATGGTCCTACTCCCTGCCGGTGCCACCAGGAACCCTTTCATCTCACACCTTCAACAAACACGATCTTTTAATAAACGTAGGGACAATAAGAAATAGTTAGAATGGGCTTTCGGGCATTTTGCATTTTCAAAGTGGAATTTGCTACAGGCGCACAGTAAGCAACAGTAAAGCGAGTTACCGTGGTAAGCCCGGCTTGTGGGGGTCTCAAAGGCGGAAAGAAGAAAGAAAAGGGGCATCTTGAATTTCAGTGCCTGTTAAGGTCCTCAATTATTCTGTGTTCGTGGATTAGTTGAGCCTGCGACCTTCCACATATGCCCGGCTGGATGGACCCAACTGCACCCGCAAAAGTCCTCCACTCATAACTGAAGCTGCAGTGATTCTGCCACAACATCTCACATCCTTGACCCTACGAAGTCTTAGCGCCGATGCCCTCTTCTTTAATCAGGTGCAAGCAAATGCGATTGCGCTTGACATGGATGAAGGCTGGAATCTAACGAATTTCAAGCTTCCAGGAAGGGCATGTATCGTGCGATCCTGCTAATAATAATAGTAGTAATAATAACAATAATAGTCATAATAAAAATGAGCATATAATAGTAATAATACTAATAATAGTAATTAGAACAATAGCAACCTAAACCCTAAACCCTAATAATAATGACTATCTTCAGCCATGGCTCATGAGCCAGTAGGCTCCCTCTGTCTCAACAAAGGCCGGCGCACCGGTGGCCGAAATGCAGTAGTCCGAGACACCTTTGCCAGAAACTTCGGGGACTGAAGCGGTGTAAATCCTTGCAGTTGAATCTTGTTAGCTGTTCGAATCAAAAACGACTCAAGCCTCCCAGGATGGACAAGAAGAACCGGCTTAGAGTTCACAGCCCTCAAAAACACAGGGCCTATTCGGATTTCTAATTGACCTCGTTGAAAAGAAGTAGCTTTGCCCATATCACCATGGACGATCTTACACCGTAAGCGCTATACTACCTTCCGTGGGGTTAGCAATAATTAGCCACCCCCTCAAACAAAAGAAATCATCCGAGCCACATGAAGGTGCTTAGGGTTTAGCCGTCTAGGGTCGAAGGGCTCCCTGTTCCGGATCCCATTCTTTCAGGACTTATGTTGAGGCCTGCCCCCCCACTTCTTTCTCCAGGAGTCACGACTCTCCAAATGATAATCACATTAACCGCTTAACCCTAAGCCCCTAAACCCTAGCTGCAACTTACAGGCTGCAAGTGTCCTGCTCCGCTCAAAGCCTGACCTATCATACTTCCTATCACGACTACCACATGCTGCTGTTCAGCTCAAGATTATCTGAGGCACCATTCATCTGCTCGAGAACAGCTATCTCTTGCCTCAGCCGTTGGGTGCAATTGATCAAACTTTCTGACTAGTCTTGGCAGGAGTCCAGGAGTCTCAGTACAGGCACACCCGAAATACGAGATCCATCGTCTTGAAGCGCCAACTCGAAACTCAATGAGGCAGTTTCCACACAAATTCGGGTCATGCCTGTACCAAAAGCACATGAATGTCTGTGTAGATGATACAAAACAACGAAACAAGCAATGCAAGGTTTTGTGTGTCAGAACTCCACTTTACCTCCGGATGACCTGCGGCCCAATGGAAAGACGCCCTTGAGAAAGAACCCTTCAACATCTTGATGAAGCATGCAATGGATTTAGAGTTAGAGCTTTGTTTTGCGGATTTTGACAGCATGCAAGCCTCGTTTCAAATCTCCTGGCCACTGGATTGCAGGGATGGCGTGTGCTTCCCTAGGGTGTTTTACATTCCCGAATGTCTTGTTAAATGTCTTCAACCGAGGCCGTCACACAAAACACCCTGCACCAAATAGAAACCAACTGATATGGCACATTAGCCATAATTAGCTTAAACTCCTAGTATGCCCCGTACTAACCCCTATAGTTGTACCCCCGATGGTCCCTTATATAACCCCCTTAAGGAATTGAGACTGTCTTGTGGGCCCCAGCAGCAGTTTCTTATAACAGCTGAGTTGCTTCACGAGCGCATTCGTTCTGGGATCCCTCTTGCGTATCCTCCGCTCGAGAGGGGTGGTTGGGACTTGAAGCCCAACCTGGAAATCAAACTAGATGAGTCTAGTCTACTTGCGATCAAGGACTGTGAGCATATAATTCTCGTTTTGGGGTCCGGTCTAGGAACACCCTGCAGGTACAACTTTGCAAGTAGGCTTTGAGCCAACTCTTCGTGAGTTCTATACTCTTGCTGCTTAACTTCTTAAAGCATGACAAGAGAAATTCCCGCCAGTATGCCAGTATAAAACACACACCCTACTCTAAACATCCATTACCTTATTACGCTAAACATGTGGGGAGGAAGGGTATTTAGTAGGGGTGTGGCGGTGTTAAGTGTGTCCGACGGCTATGGTGGCTATAGACGACAGGGAACTTCCAGAACCGTGCTAGCTCATGGAAGAGCCCCTAGGTAGGGTTGTCCAGGCATGGGGGAACCTGTGTACCCTAATCCCGCTCAGGGACTGCCAACGGGCAAACACTCATCTTTTCTATCCCCAGCAAGGTATGCTGCAGCACACTCTCTGCTCATACTTGAAAGCTGTGTGGGAGATCCAGGGCCCCCTCTTTGAGGTGGTGTTGTCCTGTGAGGGGTATCCGATAAATCAGAAAGCCATGTAGAGGTCAATCTAGTTTGGATGTAGGCAGGCTTCGCTATACCCTTTCGGCTGCCGCGAGTTTTTATACTCTCTGAATCAATGGCACCCTAAATCCGACAGCTGAGAATGCATCACAGGCTCATCTTGACTGTCACATACGTCGCCCCACTTTGGCAAAGGACTTGGCATTGAAAGACCATGCCAAAACCTGAGGTCTAGGGTATGGATCTTTGGAGGTTGACAAATGAGGTATCATGAGGGACCCATGGAATATGTGATATCATTACAGGAGTATAGTCAGGGGTTTTTCTTGCGGATTCTGAAGGGCGGGTAGTCTAAAGGAACTCCCTTATTCAAAGCCATCAGGCTCAGGGGAAGAAAATCCTACTCAAGCTTATTGGTTCTTAGTAGGGAATACGGGAATGTACTCCCGAAATAATCCCTATGTTCCCATGCTCCCCCACTGACCCCCATTAAGCAAGGCTGTAGGACCTGGGGTTCAGTGGTGGCGTGCGGTTCGGGCGGCTCCCGACTTGCTCGTATAGCTTCGCTGAACCCCCACTCAGTAAGAATGAAGATGAGGGATTATGGTGGCTATATTCCGGTCCTCTTATCTTTCTATTCTACTATACTAGTACAGGTTGGGTCGTCCACCTGACTTATGGGGTTATTTGCTTGCCCAACCTAATTGGAGCTTGTTGGGTTTTACGCCACCCCCTCTTCAAAAACACACGATTCCAGAGTTCGAAAACAGAATTGACACCAGGTAACACATAATTAGTCGAAACTCCTGGTATCCTCCTTAATAACTCCTATAGTAGTCCCCTATATAATCCCTTATATGACCCCCCTGACGGAGTTTAGATTATGGCTCAGGTGGGCTGTGCAAAGCTGAACGTCGCAGAAATATCTGCGTGGTCGGATCATGGGCTGTCAAATCAAATGCCATGCATTCAGGTATGCCAGGTAATGCCAGGTATGCCTCAATGTGATAGCCTCCAATGTGGGCAGAGCCTCCTGCATGAGGACCTAGTGCTGGAACACCCTTTAAAAGTTCTTTGGAGGCTGTGCCCGACATTTTGATCATGCGCGTTAGACATTCAGTACGAAGCGGCTGTGAATTTGTTAAGGTTAGGCTGCATTCTGCAAATCTCGAAGCCCGGAGGAACGGCAGCTGTTTTAAAGTTTTCCCTTATGTGGTGGTCTCCCTTAATAGTGCGACCCCAATATACTAACATCCTTAATTCTGGGAACCCCCTAAACGGGCGAGACGGGTACCCCTAATTTTGGGAAACCCCCAAATTCCGAGGAAGCCCAGCAGCCACCCTGGCCAACAAGTTTGACAACCCGAAGTTTCTCACTCCATTGAGAGGGTAGCTCTGGAGACTCCTCCTGCGCGTTGGTCTTTTGCTGGGCGGATTCATGCATCGTAGTGGCAGGATCTCTCACATCAGTCTACCAAGTACTCAGGGAGACTCATTTTTGTAGGCTTCTGGACAGGCATCAGATATTTGGGCGTTCAGATCAAACAGTGGCTAGAAGAGCTTCGCTCACCGCTCACCAACATAACACCACGCACCTTCGCTCCTTGTCTCGAAAGATGTGGGCTACGCGGACTGCCGCCGGTAAACTAAAAGTGCCCTGCTAGCAACTACCTTGAAATCGTCATAAAAACTCATCCAGCCCTCTCTCGCTATGCCTTTGTGTTGCCTCATGTCGGCCGTTCGTGGTATTTTGGTCGGTGGTTAAAACCCTTGCAGGAGAGACGTCCGTTTCAAGGTCGAGAGCTTTCGTTCGCTGCCCTTACTTTGAAAGACGCTGCCTTGGACCTGTCATACCCTTAGACCTATCATAAAATAGGACTCTCAAGAATTCCTGAGGGCTAAATATAATACAGATGAAAACATAATTCGGAGGAGACTACAGGGACTCCCGAAGGTTCGACAGCCTGGAAGGGGAACCTCCTGACTCTCTATCGCTTAGAGCAGCACTTCCACCAACCAAGGGTCCAAACAGGAAGCCTCTCATCCCCATCAATTCACCCCAAAACCCTGATATTCTGATCCAGGGTCCTGTTCATCGAAGCTAGAAGCGAATAAGGGCAAGTCGATACCATCATTGAGCAAACGCCAGCCTTCACCTCAAATCCCAAGTGAAGGCTTGTATTTGCTTTAGGAGCTTTAGGAGCAAGCGCCTTCGGGACACAGCTGACATCCGTATCAGCTTGTGATAAGGGCATAAAAGGGTTCTCAATACATCTTATTAACCCTTACAGCAAAATTTCCATCACAACGTCTGCATTGCAGCTGCCAGCGTTTTTAAACGCCTTGTGTAAGGTAATCCCACGGTTGGAATACGCGGAACAGTCTTATGCAGCCATGTCCGCATGGAACCCGCCTACGCCAAGAGTCGGGTCTATTGTTTCCCCCCATTGTCAGACCCCAAGCAAGAAGGATCACGAGGGACACTTACCAAAGTTGGGGCACCTCGTGCCTCGGGACATACCCCTTACAGATCCCATGTGAGTTTTTGTAGCTGTGGAACCCTACAACTTCTGTTGTAAGCATATTCAGGAATATGGCGCCTGCATCACAACTCAATTTGCAAAAATGGCTTCTCAGCCTGAACTAAAGGACTAACTCGGGAAAGGGTGACAGCGTTCCTGATGCCAACGAAGTACTGTCAAAAGCTCTTAGCCTCTGTCGCGACATGCGTCCCGCTTCCATATCGCCTTCTTGCACATTCGAAGAAGTCACATCCTGCAATAAAAAAGTCGGCCAGGCATTTTACAGAGTCGTTGAAGATATGCATTTTTTCTTTGTAGGAGGCTCAGTAAGAGTTCACACATACGACTCTGTCAGAAAATGGTGAGGGATCAAAGACCAAGCAGAGCTTCACACTTTCTACAAGGGATAGACAAGCATCCGGCATCGCAAAAGAACTCATTTCGCATTAAGACTATGGGGGAGATCAGAGCCAGCGCATGAGACAGCAGGAGAAATTAAGCAGCATCAGCAGATCGAGCTCAATCTCAATTCATATAATATAGTAGTTTCCTTTTTTCTTTGCAATTCCTAATATACCCCAATATAATATAATACTCTCCATTTTCTTTCCAGTATCGCTATATAACTCCAATCCAATATAGTAGTTTCCATCATCCCTGTATAACCCCAATATAATATAGTTGCTTTCCATTGTCCCTAAATAACGCCAATATAATATGGCAAGAGTGTTTATTTTTTGTTGTCTAGTCTTTTTTGTTGTTTGGGCTTTTCGGGTGTTATTTTGTTTTGCTGTTTGGGCGGAGGCGTGTTCTGTTTTTTGCTGTTTGGGCGGGGGCCCACGCCCCGCGCAAACAGCAAAATAAAAACACGCCCCCGGCCCAAACAG